GGCAGGAGGTCAGCATGGCCTGTTTATCTTGCAGTTCCTGGAAGAGTCGGCGGATGTCTTCCTTAAGGTCTGTAATCTGTTTATTTGCTTTTGTGAGCATTATTTTGTCACAGGCCATGGATGTAGCACGTTGGCTAGCTTGGGCTAAGCTATGGATGTAGCACGTTGGCTAGCTTGAGCTAAGCTAACGGCTAGGTGGTGCCGGTAGTCAAGGCGTGGGTAAATGCAGAAATAGGACAACAGCCAGTAACGTTAGAGCCAGCAGGGTTGTGATAAGGAGGCAGGGGTGTATAGGTGCCACTGGGAGAGAGAATAGCTTCTTGGATCAGCAACGTGTCAGGCGTGGAGAGCAAGCTGCCGTGCTGCTATGCTATATCTCGTTGTTCTTTGAGTCTTCAGCCTTCGACCTGCAAAGCATGTCAGGAAAAACTCCCTAAAAAACCCTTATTCGGGAAAAAAGGAAGAAACCTTCAGGTAGGACGAGTCTTTGCAGGATCACCTAACAGGAGGGCTGACCGTTCAGGACTCTCAGACTCTCAGAAATGACCGCAGATGGCGGGTTCGCGTGCTGTGGCTCTTACAAAATACCATAAACAAAAACAGATTGATTGTTAAAGAGAGAGTTCACCAAACCAAAAATACATATTTTTCCTCTTACTAGTGTAGATTCATTTTGGTGTGAGCCTCTGAATGTTGGAGATATCAGCCATAAAGATGTCTGCCTTATCTCCAGTATAATGGAACTAGATGGCACTTGGCTTGTGGTGCTCAAAGCACCAAATAATACATCTGAAATACTCAACACCAACGTCTCTTTCCAGAAATCATGAGCCAGTTACTCAAAATAATCCACAGACCTTGTTTTTAGCAGTTTAATGTAGTTGTGAAGGAACTATTTACCTTCTGCCGAACGACACCTGCCAACTGTATCATCGTGCAGAAGGAAGAGTGCATCTAGTGTCCTCCTAAGCTGAGCCTGATAGTTCCTTTTCCACCAACACTTCCAGAAACTTTTATTTCAAGGAATTTATTTACCTGGGTTAAATAATTCCTGGTAATCTGTGTTGTTTGCGTTTCCACCGCACCTCAAAGTTATGGAAAATGTGTTCCACCAGCCTACCTGGCTGGTAACATGCTAACATTAGTGCTGGTAGAGAGAGAAGGGGCTGTTTGTCTCAGGTAGCAGCTAAGTTTAAAAGTATTTTAAGGTAAGTGTTAAACTAAGTTAGTCTACATACAGACAGCTGTCATTTGAGCTTATTAGTATCAATTCGCTATCAGCCGAACTAGCATGCTCTCCTTGTGTAAGACATAACGTTAGTGTCGCTTGATGAGAGACTGTGGACGGAGCATATTGAATATTGCTCTCTACATGTTTATATGTTGATGTTTACTGAACACATGTATTGAAATGTATTGGCTTCTTACTCGCTAACATTTAATTTCACTTACAGTAAAAAGTGTAGCTGCCATCAACTCGAGTAATTTTCAAGTTATCTTCACTTCATTTCCTCCGCGGCCGCTCAGCTGTTCACCGGTTACCATGTTGTGTAAGCGTGTGTGTGTGTGTTCACCAACCACAGCTGAACTTATCAAATACCGCTGCTTTGTCAGCTGAGGTCAGCATCTTCTTAGAAAGGATGTGTTAAAAAGTGACACAAAAAATTTGTTGTTACATGTGTAACACATTTTGTGTGGATTTCAACACAAGATATGTAAAAAAGCTTAAAAAGCTTAACACACTTTACGTGTTTGACAGTTTAACACAATTTGTGTGTTAATTTATGTGGCGGGAAGGGGGCGCCATTTCTCCATTGTTCGCTGTTCGCGCCACAGAGACAAAGAAGACAAAGGAACAGAGATGGAGGCTGCATCACCCCGTGTGTTCCCTGAACCTTCAGAAAGTATTAGGGATGTAATGATACCAGAAACTCACAATACGATAGTATCACGATAAAGAGTCCACGATACGATATATATCACGATATTTATACAAGGGGAAAAACAGAGAAAATGTATTGTTAATGGTAGCTATTTTATTCAAAATTATTGCATGTACACTGTACAGCATGTTATTTTTAACTTGGAAGCGTATCATAAATAAATCAACACACAGCTGAACATGTGCTTTCATTCCCCCCCATTACTGCTAGGCAGGCAGATATTACAAAGTGCCATAACAAAGTCATGTCAATTAAAACTATCGTGACAGAATATGAAAATGGAAACATTCAGTATTTTTTAACCTACTCTGAACAAAAGTAGTGTAGTACTATTACTAGAAAGTCACCTGAATGACATCAAATTATGAGAATAGAGTCGTCTTAATATTCATCAAATATACAGAACTTAGGACAATCAGACCCTGCAACAACAACAAAATTAACAAATTAGAAATAATGTAAACTCAATAACACACAATCCCTCACTCACAGATATACAGAGAGAGAGAGAGAGAGAGAGAGAGAGAGAGAGAGACAGAGAGAGAGAGAGGTGGGTAGAGATGTGTGTAAAAGAAAACCAAAATAAATAAAGCCCAGCCATTTCCCTGGAAGTCAAAGAAAAACTCAAAAACACACATTCACTCAGTTTGTTCACGCCAGGTTGACAATCTTGACATCAAGGAGACCCTAACACTTTCTCAGAACAGGAGATGAGGAGAGGAAAGCTCTGGTTCTGCGCTTTCATGTGATATGCGTGGCATTTCTGTGCGACCCTGCATTCGCAAGTAATCCATCCAAAAGTAATGTGTGTGCAAAGTTGTATGAAAGCTTAGTTATACATAATTTTAGTCTAAATGTATCATTGTTTTTTGCTGTGAAAACACTGGACTACCAGTAAGTGCTTGGTCTTGTCAGAAAGCTACGGTTCTGCTATTTCACGTGATATGCATGGCTTCTCGCTATGACGAACGGTCGCAGGGAAAATCCATAGAGAAGAACAGGTGTGAATTTGGACGCACTATGCGTCGTTCGGGCCCATAGGGTTAATCTCAATCTTATTACTTTTATTCGCCATTATAGCATTTCTGTTCACTTGTCTCGTTTCCTCTGTTCACTGCTGCACGAGTCTGCTCTCACCTGCGCGTGCAATTGCATGCAAAGGATTATGGGGAATGTAGTCGCACAGTCATATTACCAGCTCTGTAGGAGAACGCAGCTATATAATTCCCACGACGGTATTGAGAATTTATTTTATCACCGTGAAATTCGATATATTTCGTTACATGCCTAGTAAGTATCCATTACTAGTTTATATTAATGTATCTCACCACACTGTAGAGTGTTAGGGTAAATTTGGCATGTATGTAATCCACCAACTAAATCGTATTTCTAAGAAAATCCATGATAAACATTGCGTTTTGTTCAGCAGGGCAGGAATTGCCCATTGGTCTGACAGCCCATTGGTTCGACAGCCCATTGGTTCAACATCCCATTGTTCCGACCATATTAAACCCATTGTTCCGAAGTCCGTTCCGAAATCATCATGATGCCCTGTGGTTAAGGTCTGGTTAGGTTTAGGCACAAAAACCACTTGGTTAGGGTCAGGAAAAGATCATGGTGTGGGTTAAAATGAAAAAGTAAGTGACAAACACATAAGCCGTGAGCCTGCTTCGCCTCGAGCCTTTCCCAGCTGACCCAGAGGACCCGATGGTCGCGGCGCACCATCAAGGTAGAAATACGCTCGCCGGGAGCCGTTCAGCACCCCAGACCGTTGGACTAATGGGCTGTCGAACCAATGACAGGGACTCCAGCAGGGCTGCCTAGCTAACTGCCTAATGTTAGCTAACCTACCTAACTTCCATTGTGATTTTGAAGTTTTTTTTCTTCTATCTTACTACTAAAATTACACCACATAAAATTCAGTTTGGGACAGTATAGTTAACAGTCACTCATTTAGGTAAAGTCGCCATGAAAGGTGAACAATTAACGTTAGCTAACTAGGTTTGAAGTCAACACAACAGAAATTCATTAACATTAACACTGCCATTTTGCTGCAGGTGCACCACAGGGTTTGAGTTGGAAAGGGAGAGACTGTTAGATGCAAGTTACTTATTGCACGGCTAAACTCATACCGTAAGCCACATTACATTTTAACGGGCATTTTTCTTATAACCATGACCAAATAACTACCAAAATTTGGGACTAGAGCCATTTGCCCATTGTGTTTTAACGTCACAGACACAGCCATGGTTGCTGTGTGTTAACCGGGCAAATGTGTGTCTGCGCTGGAAACCACCTGTACCACATGTACCACGTGTTATCACTCTATTGAGGATGCAAGCACAGGTCATTGTGTTTTTAACAGTGCTTTTACCAGTTTTCCTCCAGTATTTTTGATTGCTGCTCGATTTTTGATTGTGTGTTACAGTTAGAGTGCTATGAAAGCACTTGTCTAGACTACTAGATAATCGCTGTAAGTTACAGGTGCTGCGGGCAGAGCAGTTCTCATGACAAACATATCGGGGAAAGACAGGACAGGAGAAGTGGTGTTGGTGACTGTGGCGTTGTTGTCGTGGTTGACTATTTATTTGCGGTTGTTGTGTTTGCTTATGGTTGCTGTAAGTCTGTGTCCTAATGACGAGCACTACTTAGAAGTGTTAATATTACACGTGACATGTAATCAATTAGATAGTGCTGTGGGTGGAACATTGTGTGAGACTAGAGAGTGATGACTACAGACAGAGAGAGAGGCAGCTGCATCAGAGCCAAATCTTTTAACAATGTGTTGTATTTTAAAAGCTTGTTATATTAAACATTGTGTAAAATCTGTTTAGAAAGTACAATGGAAATAAGCCATTGGGCATTATTGTAATTTCATCCTTGTTGATTTTTAAATGTATTTAATGACTGCTGTGCAGTTGTATGTGTTTTTTAAAATAAATAAATGCAGGGGCGGACTGGCCATCTGGAGGTTCTGGAGAATCACAGAACGGCGGGTACTCCAGGACGGCCGGCAGCCACCACGCATGACCGTTTTTTTTTTTTGTTTTTTTTTTCCTTTTTCTCCCTGATAATCTACTGTTCCACATCCAGTCCGCTAGGTGGCGGCCTTTAAATTGGATGCCAGCCGGCCCATAGATATCTATGAGCCAGCCGGCCGCCAATCAAATTGAAGAAGAAGGAAGCACATACGTCACGCAAATCGAGCAGCCGTGTGCAGCAGGTGCAGATGGGAGAGACAGCGTGAAAGATAACAATATGGATACTGGTATTAATCCAAAAAAACGGAAAGAAAAGGGTGGGGCTGAGAAGGTGAGGGAAAAAAACAAAGGCAATTAGAGAGTGAAGCCTCGATGAGTTATGATAAATCACAGTGTAAAGAGGCTGTAATTATACAGTTTAACTTGATTACTCACTGAGAAATAAACGACACAGTCCAGATGTCTCTCTGCTGAACAATACAATGCAGGTGACTGCCTGAAACACACAACAAGACATGGTATGAGTCTCATACCATGTCTTGTTGTGTTTCAGGCAGTCACCTGCATTGTATACACTCTATCTGCATTGTTGACTGTGTCGTTTATTTCTCAGTGAGTATTCTACACTATGCTCTTAACACAACATCTAGTCAACATCGGTGCTATTGCTATAATTTGGAAGGTATAGTATCATGTGTTAATATTTAAGTATTTTGACACCCGTGTCTGGGGCTGATGAGTTTCCGCGCACCGGTTGTTGTGGGCTGGACCGAGTCAAAGTCCAGGCCTGTTTTTTAGTCCCAGTCCGCCCCTGCCTCTGTCTCAGTAAATGTTTCCCTACTGTGTCTCTGCCCCCAGCTGGCCAAACGCTATGGTAACGTGTACAGCCTTTTCATTGGTCCCAGGCCTGTGGTGGTCATCAATGGGCTGCAGGCCTTGAAAGAAGCTCTGATCAACAAAGCTGATGACTTCTCTGGCAGACCACAAGACCAAATGGTTAATCATGCTGTAGTAGTGAAAGGTACAGAGCAAGTTTTGGCTTTTTGTCTATGCAGAGTGATTTTTCAATATGCTATACATTATTGCATTGTTACCTGAACATCATTGCAGACCAAGTAAACCCCCTCATGGAGACGGCACTTGTCGATGGCAGTGACCCCCCTGCAGAACAATGCATATGACACAGCACAGAAACTGCTCAGGAATGGCCCCAGGAACAGAACAAAGAGCTCAAAGCATCAACTTGGCCTCCAAATACCCCAGATCCCAATCTGATCGAACATTTGAGGGACATGCTGGTACCCCAGAGGTACCCCTGATCCAGGGTGGGTCCTTCTTGGACCAGACTTGGCTCTGACCTGTCAAGGCATGAACATAGGACCTCTGGGGCGTATCCTATAGTGTCTGGCACCAGGACGTTAGCTTCATATCTTTTGAGTCCTGAGGGTTGTGAGGTGGGCTAACAGCATGTCCCACAGATGTTTGATCAGACTGGGATTTGGGGTATTTGGAGGCTAGGTTGATGCCTTCCTCGGGCCACTCCTGAGCAGTTTTTGTGGTGTGGCATGGCGCATTGTCCTGCTGGGGGGCCACAGCTACTGGGGAGTGCCACTGCCATATGGGGGGGAACCTGGTCTGCACTGGTGTTAAGGTGGGTGGAGCGTGTCTGGTGGCAACCACATGAATGTCAGAACCCAAGGTTTCCCAACAGAACATTGCATTGTAACAAGATAATCAGTGTTGTTCACGTCACCTGTCAGTGGTTTAATGTTTTGGCTGATCAGTGTATTTATATACTGTTAATAATAATGTTGATATCAGCTCTTGTCACTGAACCATCACTCAATGCATTTAAAAAATGTATTTGAAAGTGACTGCCATTTTCTAAATTGACATTTTTGAATGCAGCAAATGCTCCCGGAGTGGTTCTAGCAGATTATAACCCTGCCTGGAAACAGCAACGACGCTTTGGTCTGATGACCCTGAGAAACCTTGGTCTGGGGAAGCACTCAATGGAGCAGAGAATTCTGGGAGAGATACATCGCATGACAAAGATATTGGAGCAAAGTGTTGGTATGTCACAGGAACCCAGAGGTCAATGGGCCTCATTCACCAACCGTTTTTAAAGCTGCACGTTATAACTTTTATGAAAAATAACTTTTTGTCATATTTGCTGAAACTGTCACTATATTCTNTAAATCACTTTTCTATAATACGTCAATGATATTTCAATGGAATAAATTACTTATTGACTTATTCATACTTCAAAAACAGCATCAATAAGTGATTAACATAGGGGGGATCAAAATAAAATAAATAAAATAAAAATCAACCAGCCACCCTCCTCTCCTGACAAGTAAAGAACAGTCCCTAAAGTGCGGTGAGGTTTGTGGAAATGTGAACGGCTTGTTTCTCCTCTGACACGTCACATACCTGTGTGCCGCCACAGCTCGGCTGTTCAGGTATTTTTGGGCAGTCATGACACTGACGAAGACTTCTTGGACCTGGAGCCGGGCTTCTCGGTCGCCGCTAAGCCGTTATCTTGCACCGCAGAGCACTGTGGCCGCAGTATTTGACAGGAATATGTATTTCTGTCTGTGTCTGTGACCCCCGTTCAAGCCACAACCGGCAGGATTCGCCTTTACGGCCGGGCTCCACCGGCTGCAAACGTAAGCGTCACGTCAGCGTAGCGTCGCGGCGTATTCATTTGGGCTCCACTGACTGCATACTGAAGCGACATGTAGAGAAGCCAGCGGGGATGTTTACCGTTTGCCGAGCCGAGAGGCTGCATGTAGGCTGCATGAAATGTTAAAGCATTTTCCACATAAGTTATTAGGCCTACATATATTTGAGTTATCTACAAGTTTACTGTACTGTTTGTCATCTACTCGCTTTCAAATGTCCGCCACGGACATTTGCACAATGTCACGGATAAACATGGGTAAATGCATGAAAAAAATCATCACATATCACCTCTGATAATGGTTTATTCATTTAAAAACACATTGTGCTCATTTAGCACACTATTTCATGTAGTTTTTATCTGCTGGATGGTCGTGTAGGGGAGCGTAGCACGACAAAAATAGAAGAGCCGCGTAAAATAGAGAGTTGTCTCGCGGCAGGCGGGGGTTGTTGCACCACTCCCGTTGCCGGTGGAGCTGCTGTAATTGATTAACAGGGGGGCGAGCTGCTACGGGGCTCGCGCTGCAGACGTGTCGCGCCGCTGACGTGCCTGGTGGACCTCGGCCGTTAGTTTGTCATTGTCAGTAATGCCTGCTACGGAGCATGCCGCCAGCTCTCGCGTTGTTTTAGAGATGCAAACTGTTAAAGCCAGTCAACCAATTGCTAGTCTCGCGATACCCGATCCATGACTCTACAGTCGATTCATCTAAGGATTCATGGCTGATTCGTATTGATTGAGGAGGCTGCTACCGACGCAGCCGTATCTCTCGCTTGTCAAACCGGATATCCGGGCGTATCGGTTAATCATTCCCAACCCTAGTAGGATATCATCTGCATATAAACTGATTTTGTGGCAATATGAAATGGTTTGAATACCTGAAATGCTATTGTTCTGTCTAATGGCTGAGGCAAGTGGTTCTATAAACAGTGCAAAAAGTAGTGGTGATAATGGGCATCCTTGTCTGGTACAAAAATACCTCATCACATGACTACAGGGCTGTAGTCATGTGATGAGGTATTTTTGACCTATAGAGGATTTCGGAAATCATGTTGAAAAATAAAGGAGAGAGAAGGGACCAAAAATGTTTATAGAATTCTGCAGGGTATCCAGCTAAACCTGGGGACTTGTTGGACATAAGTAGTAATGCTTTTTTTCAGTTCATCTATGGAGAGTGGTGTGTCTAAATAGTCTGCTTGGTCAGTGGATAGTTTAGGGAGGGAGACACTCCTCAGAAAAGTGTCAGCCTCTGTGGGTGTGGTGATGTGGTCCGGGGTGTACAGATTGGAGTAGTATTTCCTAAATGTTTCGTTTATTGCCGTATGATCCTGTGTTGTGTTTCCCAAGGTATCATCTATTGAAATGATGTTACTTTTTTCAGTTTGTTGTTTTAGTTGATTAGCTAGTAGCTTACCAGTTTTGTTGCCAAATTCAAAATGTTGATGATGAAGTTTGAGAAGCGTGTGTTGTGTCTTTTTGTTGAGAAGGCTGTGGAGTTTGTATTTGATTTGGAGTAATTCTGTATTGAGTGTGTTTGTAGGCGTTTGAGAGGCTAGGGTTTCCAGTCTTTTCACCTCCTGCTCTAGAAAATGTTCTCTTGCAGTTTCTTCTTTTTTCTCTTTTGTGGAGTATGATATTATTTTTCCTCTTAAGACTGTTTTTGCTGTTTCCCAAAGGGTACTGGCTGTTACATCCGGGGTGCTGTTGGTCTCAAGAAAGGATGCTCATTCTTGTTTGAAGCATGTGGTAAAATCTGGGTCTTTGAGTAGTGATATATTAAAGCGCCATCTGGATGTGGGGTGATGTTTAATTCCTGTTGATAATTTGAGAGGTATAGGGGCATGATCTGATAATAATACTATGGAGCTATGGAGCTATAGGAGCTATAGGCTCTGTTATTCTATGTGTGAGTGTGTTGTTAATCAAAAAATAATCAATGCGGGAGTAGGTTTTGTGATGTGGGAAGGAGTATGTAAATTCTGTTATTTGTGTTGTGTAGTTTCCAGATATCCATCAGTCCATATTCTGACATATATTGTTTGATTGTGGATGAGGAATTGAGGGGTTTATTAGATAATGAGTTGGAAGAGCGATCTAGGTCCGGGTTCAGTACCATGTTGAAGTTGCCGCCTATTATGGTATGAGAGTTTGGAAAGTTGGATAGTTCATGAAAGAGGGAGTGGAAAAATGTGGGGGAGTCTGAGTTTGGGCTATAGATACTAGCTATTGTTATACTATCTTTGTGAATGCTACCGTTGATGATAATGAATCGTCCTTCGGGATCTGTAATAGTGCTGTTATGAATGTATGGTGTGGTTTTACTAATGAGAATGGAAGTGCCACATTTTTTTAGAATTGTAGGTTGAGTGGTAGGTCTGGCCAATCCATCCGGCCTTGAGCTTCTGAGATTCTGCCTCTGTAAAATGGGTTTCTTGTATTAGGCAAATGTCTGATTTCAGTTTATGTAGATGGTTCAGTACTTTGGTTCTTTTGGCAGGTGAGCTTATCCCTCGTATGTTCCATGATGTTAAGTTCAATGTTAAGGCCATACTACTAGAGTTGGAAAATAATAAGTATTTTTCCTGTTGGGTTCTGAGCTAGCGGATGCACAGACTGAAGTGATATGTCCAGTAAGTCTGTGAGATAAGAAGCTTTGACTGAGATTTGGTTGAGAATCAATACAAAACATTTTATCTATTTTTTCAATTAATTGTGCAGTCCTGTTAATTGATATAAAGTTGTATCTGCTTGATCTGGGATTTAAACCACTGATGGCTCATACATTTTTGCTTTTGTTTGCTGTGTTTGTGTTTACTTCAGTTTGCTCCCCTGCCAAACCCTCAGCCAAGTCAGACAAATTCTCTGCCTGCCCATGACAACAAGAGCCTGGGTGACAGTGGATTGGACGCGCTCAAAGCACTGATCAAAACGAAGGCTCCAGCCATAATCACAGAATATAAGGATGCTACTTGTAAGGATTGCTGTCAGAGATCTTGTGGAGAGACGAGGATTGTAAGTTGTCACTGTATCAGGTGTGTGTGTGAAGAGTTGAGATACAAATGTATCGACAGTGGAGTGAAATTGGTTCTCTGTACTATACATGAAATGAGTATTTCATAGTTAGTTAATATGGGGTGGGAGTAGAGACATAGTGATATGATTGATGTTGTTATTGATGTTACTAATTGGTCATCGGAAATGGTTTGGTAATAGTTGCTGTCTGTTATTTTCAGTTACCCATCCAGTGATAACAAGGTGCGGCTTGCCAAGAATGTTGTCACCCTCTTCCCTAAATTGTGTGTCAAAACCAGGAACTCTGCAAAAGTGTGTGCCCATTTTCAGGAATAAATTAGTCTTACTCAGACCTTTGAGGAGCACTGTGATCATAGCCAAAACATTTAAATCAAAACATTAAACTCTCAACACAGTAGTTGTGTTAAAGTAGTAACACAACTACTGTGTTAAAGTAGTTGAAAGGCAGCTTGATGGGGACGCTTGCCAAGAGGCCATGTCTTTGCTCAACCATACCACAGACAATTCCCTGATTTATCAGACGATGAGAGAGACCTTTCAGCACCACCAGAAGCTTGTTAATGACCAAGGCAGAAGTGTTGATATCCTCTCCACCTTTCCAAGAGTTGATAGTTTTAACACAAGATTTGTGTTGGCTTTTCAAACACAGTAATTGTGTTAAATATAACACAAAACGTGTAGTCCTTATATAGACACATTAGTGTGTTGAGAATTGACACAACTTGTGTTAATATTAACACATCTGTTTTAAGAGTGCACTGACATTTTTAATGGCTGTATGATACACATTATGCAATGACTATTTCTGACACCATCTGAAACTACTGTAGGATAAAGAGTGAGACAGTACTGTCGGTACTTCACATGTTGGAATGAGAACGGGTTGAGGGTAACTGTCCCCAAAATGCAACAGTGGAGTGAGGAGAAAACACCTGTAGCCACTGGCCNTCACATATCACCTCTGATAATGGTTTATTCATTTAAAAACACATTGTGCTCATTTAGCACACTATTTCATGTAGTTTTTATCTGCTGGATGGTCGTGTAGGGGAGCGTAGCACGACAAAAATAGAAGAGCCGCGTAAAATAGAGAGTTGTCTCGCGGCAGGCGGGGGTTGTTGCACCACTCCCGTTGCCGGTGGAGCTGCTGTAATTGATTAACAGGGGGGCGAGCTGCTACGGGGCTCGCGCTGCAGACGTGTCGCGCCGCTGACGTGCCTGGTGGACCTCGGCCGTTAGTTTGTCATTGTCAGTAATGCCTGCTACGGAGCATGCCGCCAGCTCTCGCGTTGTTTTAGAGATGCAAACTGTTAAAGCCAGTCAACCAATTGCTAGTCTCGCGATACCCGATCCATGACTCTACAGTCGATTCATCTAAGGA